AACATGGGTACACACATATTTTCCATCTTGATGTTTGCATTCCAACAGGGCTTGAGTAACTTCGTACTTTTCGAGTTGAAGATCACTTGACTTAGGGAGAGTCACTGGAGGAGTAGGAGGAAGAGTTGAAGAAGCATGATCTTAAGTTTCTATTGCTAGAAGAAGGGAACATTCTTTCACCTTGATCAGCATGTGGAAGATTATCTTCAGATAGAGGAAAAACATTTACAGAAGAGCAAGGAACACCATTCTTGTCTGAACTTGACATCTATAATATGAGAAAAGAGAATTCAAGTTGGTTGATGTTAATCCTTAATTATTAACCCATAAAATTAAATTAATGTTAGGATCCATATTTTCGATTCGAACTTTGAAGAGGGATGTTGTAATCAAATTCAAATCTATTTTAGGTAGGTAAATCGTTTACCAATTTCAATCTCATGAAACTCCTAGATATTTTGAGATTCATTGAACTATTCAATGACATGTTTAATCTCAATTATGCTCTCACCTTTGTGACTAGGATGTCGAGGATTACAAACGAGATGTGAATAACCATGCAAATTAGCTTGGTACTCTTGATGTTATTTATCATCTCGTTTTAATGTGCCGGTTAACCATGCGCGCTCCATTAATCAACGATAATTTTCGAGACACCCATTAACAACCTTTATAAGTCCCCCATTAGTGTGCAGGTTAACCACACACGCTCCACTAACGACTCATAAAGTGTAATGTGCAACTTCATGGATTAGCATACAAATTCACATTTTTTCTAAAGTAACTAAGAGTGAGATTTTAGAAAATAGTTTAGTTACTTTATGTTATTATACTTTTAATGAGATTATGTCCTATAAAATCAGTTCAGCTAACGACCCTCCACCAAACAAAAGACTGGTGGGTAAGAATGGATACCCAATGACGGTCATTTTAAAGGCCGCTTCCTTAAACTCCACTTATAGTATGGCTTCGTGAATGAGGTGTACTAGCGGTTCGACTGACTTTTTTTATACGTATAATATATATTAAACTTTTAATAATATATATAGTATAACGTGAATTTTAAAATATTTTAAAATTGCAAGGGTTTAATCTTTTAATAAATTAAACTTTTAATTTAATTAAATTTAAACTATTTTATGGATTTATTAATTGTTCTTTAATTAATTACTTAATTAAATTAATAATAAGATCCATATTGATGTATTTTTTAAACTTTTCAAAATACCAATTATTATTTGACATTAATTATTTAATTAAGTTAATATCTAGATTTATTTATACTCTTAAAATAATCATATTAATCAACAAAAAATAATTAATTAAGTCTTTATCTCCTATCTTCCAGGCTTTTAATTTATCACGATGGATACATCAAAATCGAATTTAGAGGATAAGTATAGCAAGTAATTATCATATAAAAGCATATTAGGTAGATAAGGCACAAATTTTCGGATCTGACAACTCAACACGCTGTGTTTGATGATCATCATGTCGTGTTGCAGGCCAACACGTCGTGTTGGAAGAACACCACGACGTGTTTGAAGAACAGAATGACGATGTTGTTTTCTCCTTCTTGTTCATGTTCACCATTCTATTAATCCAATAGAAAACTAAACCTACGCTCTGATACCACTGATGGGCTTTGAGTGTAACAAACAATCCTACGTGTGCATGCAATCCTAAATAACTTGATCTACGTTTTCTCTAAATAAACATACAAATTGAACAACAATGTAGAAACCCTAGTACACTAGAATTTAATCAAAATACACAATTAGGCTTAAGAAAAGCATACCTCAATTGTTATGTAATAATAACAATGCAAACCTTGTGTCATTGAAGCCTTGAGAGCAAGCATCGCAAATGTCGCGCCTCTAATGGTTCACACCCAACACTAGCAAAGGAAGTTGATGAAGAAGGAGGAGAGAGGATGAAAATTTTGGCTTAACCCTCTAGGGAATCAGTTGGCAGAAAATCATAAGGTTATGCCCTATTTATAGTGCAGTCAAGAAATCCTAGATAAGTCCAAACTCAAGATTATCTTAAACCGGGTAATTATCTACTTTCCTGATTATCCACCAGGGATTAATCAAGAATCCTTTGGGTTCCAAGAAATTGCCCCCACCATATGGATAGTTCTAGATTGCCTCTTGCTCAACTATTGAACAATTACAATTTAGTCCATGCCCTTTTAATTAATTCTTTTAATCCCGAAATTAACTCCAATTAATTTCTGATTAAATACTACTATTTCAAATTAATACATTAACAAATCATTTATTTCAATTTATTAATCAAAATAATAAATTCAACCTCTCTCTTCAAATTTATCTATCCAGCTGCTAGTTTTGAGGGCAACCCAAAAGGACTGTGCTACTATCAATTTAAATATATACCAATTATAGTTATGAGCATAGACACCTAATCCAATAGATGGTAAAAATGAAATTCTTAGAGACATTCAAGAGAAAAAACCTGAGTTTATTGAAGGTAATTCAGATGATGTTATACCTGAGAAAATCCAACTAAATGAATAAGATGTAGCCATGCTATGTGACATCCCCATTTTCATGGCAAGAAAAGTCCAATTTGTTTATGCTTTGTTTGAAAATCAGAGTAATATTTTAAAGAAAAGTATTGTGGAATTTGTTCCCAAAAGATAAATATGATAAAGATTTATCGAAGCATTTCCGAAGAAATGTATTTCATTATATTAAAACCTCGGGATGTCATGTTCAATACAGATCAACAACATAACAGAACAACATAGGCCTTACAACATTTATTTATATCTACTAGCCTATGATCATTAATCCCTAATCAACTCATCCAACTATGTTCTTGAGCCACTACTTGTAATACAAGAAACTGAGTGGGTTAGGCTTAGGAGCCTGGTGAGCACATAGGGTTTTCAGCCCACAATAAATAAGTTTATTAATTTCATCAAACCAAACAACCCGATTACCCGTTCCCGCTATCCTCACTTTATGTCCCTAAAACATCTATCATAAGGGACCTATCCTAAGGAAATTCATTGGGATGGACATTACTGCAAAGGGGGTTCCTCAGCAATAATTGTCTGTAAGGCAACCATGAGGGGGATGGAGTACACCGGTGAACACATCGTTCACAAACACTTACAGGTTGCGAGCTTGCTAGTGTTCCACTGGACTCTCTAGAATAGATCGTGGTCATCATCTATATTTCGCTAGATGATTAAGTCATCGTCAACATCGAGGCCTCATATCATTTTATCACACATCGTCTTTTTCATCTACCCATGTTTTACCCCAACATTATTGTAGATATAAAATACATATACAGTTTAAATCTTTTTGAAACTCGTATAAAAACGTTCATCCATCATAGATATCAAGTAAACAGATAATATGCACTCATAGCACGTAATTAATATAAAATACTTCATATTTATATGTAAGATTAAAGTGACTATGCACTCACTTATTAAAGTGACGACTCGAAATTCGAGCAACACTTCACTTCTTAACAATATGATTTCCTTCGACGAAACCTAGTATTATTACCACTAGATTTTAGTCTAATATTTATTGTGGCTAATTATTAGTCTAGATTCGTCATTAACTCAGAGTCGAATTCATGATCTATCAAGTAAGGAACAACCCGGTAGGATCATATCGGAGGTAGGGTCCGTTTGGTATACGAAGTATACTATTTGGAAATCCCACTTTAAACAACTCACTAAATCACAGCCTAGACATCATTCCTGAAAGTAGATGAATCAGTATAACGAATTTGAATCACTGATCAATCTTATTTATAGGTTCATAATAATGATATTATATTTAAATATAAGTTATATTTAAAGTACGGTAGGAGAATAAGGGAGGTTTAGAGAGAAGTTAGAGAGAGAAAGAGAAAGGTGGAGGAGTGAAGAAATGAGGGTGGAAGGGGTTCTATTTATAGGGTGAAATATGGTTCAACTTGTTGCCACATGACACCATCTGGTGGCAAGACTTGGGGAGAAAGCATTGGCCCAGATTCAACCACGTCACCCATTCGCAACAGCACCCTGCCAACTTCTTAACCCCGTAACTTTCGCATACGAGCTCCGTTTTTGACGTTCTTTATATCCACGCGTATGTGGAGACATAGTATACAACTTTTTTTAGACTTTGTCGGCTAAATCTTGACCGGTTTTAAATTTAATAGTAAGAGAATATTACACTGTTAACGACCGTATAAAACTCATAACTTCAACATACGGACTTCGGTTTCGTCTGTATTTTTATCGTTGAGATCCCATTACTGAGATCTTCAATTCTCATTTAGGTTGCGTTGGCCACAAATTGATCTAAATTTTGAATTTCGGGTTGTGCACTACTATGCCAAATCTTATAAAAGTCATAACTTCCTCATACGAAGTCGGTTTTGGGCATTCTTTTTATGCACGCTTTCGGTTTAACGTATACTATAACTTTTATTTAGATCGCTAAGGCCAAAAGTCCTCTATCGTAAATTCACTATTTACGTCACGTAGTGTTGTGTCGGTTTTTTCGTGGGGTATATTGCTTTACTAGACGACACGAGTCTTCTCACTATACTTACCTGAGTGGTAATATTGTATGACCAGAGGGTCTTATCTCAATATTGACCGAAGGGTCTTATGTGCTTATACTGAGTTATGTGATATATTATGCATTCTATCTTTGTGATTAATGTTGTATATTATTATGTGCCTTATTGAGTTAGGACCAGAGGGTACAAACCGATATGTGAGACCAGAGGGTCCTCACTGAGATATAGGACCGGAGGGTCCAAACCGAGTTGTGAGACCGGAGGGTCTTCACTGAGATACCAGTCTGGAGGGTCCGACCCGAGCTGTGAGACCAGAGGGTCTTCACTGAGACACATGACCGGAGGGTCCTTATCGACATATAGCCATGGGAGGCTAACTATTTATGTGTGGTATTTTGGGGAACTCACTAAGCTTCGTGCTTACAGTGTTTGTGTAAAATATGTTTCAGGTACATCTCAGTATCGCGGGTAAGCGTCGACATGATTGTACACACCAAATTGAGATTATGTTTTGAGGATTCTGGGATATTATCAAACATTTTGTTGTCTTGTGTTTTGAACAACTTATACATTTGGGTTTTGAGAAATGTGAGATTGTGTTTTATGTGGTTTTAAAAATGATTTTTTTTTGAAAAATTTAGAGTGTTACAAAGATGAAGAATGGCATCCAGATGATGTTGAGGTGTTTGTTGATGACAAAGAGGATGATGGAAGAGTTGATGTAGGGGAGGAAGCATGGAGTGAAGGTGATGATGAAGGAGTGGTTACAGTTGATAATGATGTGATGGATGAAGGACAAGTCGAAGCAGGGATTAAAGTTGTCGTTGAGAGAGTGGATGAGGGAAAAAATGAAGATGATGGAGTCAATAACTTGCAAAACCAATGTACCAAACATACGTACAGGGAAAGGAAACATTCTGAGAGGATACCGAAGCTAAAGTTGAAGAAGACTGTGTATGAAAAAGATGGTAGTGATTCCAGTGCTACCAAACCTGTCAAGTTGGATTAGTTGGGTATTGATTTTGAAAAGGGGTGAAGTGGGATGTTAATCAGTGGCATATGATGCCTTCTTTTTATATATCTTTTGTTATTCCTAGTTTTTGCAGAAAACATCCAGTTGTCATATGTGTTTGATTATATGTTGCCTTGATAGGTTTGTTTGATAGGCTTTTTGGCACAATTGGATGACTGTTAAATGAAACATTATGTAATGCACACCCTTTTTCTATGAAATCTGGTTTATGGTACTATTATTTGATTATAGCATCTTACAATAGGTTTGGTTAATGCATCTTATGTGTGGAATATAGCATATGATATTTGTTTTTTTAATGCTTTATAGCATCATACTTTGGTATGGTTTAAAGCATCTTAATTTTGTATGAATTATATCATTTGAATTGTCATTTGTCATGACATTATTCAATGCCTAACAATAGTTACCATGCGAGTATTGACCGCCCTCCTTTCGAGATGATCTACGAGAGGAAGTGCAGGACCCCGATTTGTTGGGGCGAGGTCGGTCAGCGTGTCATTGGGAGCACCGAAGTGGTGCTCAAGATGACAGAGTTGATCCAGTAGGTTCGTAGTAGACTGCAGACTGTGCAGAGTCGGCAGAAGAGTTACGCCGACAGAAGGCGTTCAGACTTGGAGTTTCAGGTGGGTGACATGGTCCTCCTGAAGGTATCACCCTGGAAGGGTGTCATTAGGTTCTGGAAGAGCGGCAAGTTGGGCCCCAGGTTCATTGGTCCTTTTAGGGTTTTGGCCCGGGTGGTTCGGGCCGCCTATCGATTGGATCTTCCAGCAGAGCTTAGCCAGATCCACAACACTTTTCATGTTTCTCATTTCAGAAAGTGTTTGGTAGACGAGTCACCAGTTGTACCCTTGGAGGATATTCAGGTTGATAGCAACCTGAAATATATCGAGAGACCAATTGCGATCTTAGATCGAAAGGCAAAGACCTTGAGGAACAAGGTGGTTCAGTTGGTAAAGGTGCAGTGGCAGCACCGGAGGGTTTCAGAGTGGACATAAGAGGCGGAGGAGGAGATGAGGGAGCACTACCCAGAGTTGTTTCTGGAGACAACAGACTTTGAGGACGAAGTCTAAGATAAGTGGGGGAGAATTGTAACACCCCGTTACTGGTACATATTTATTTTGATTAAATGTTTCTTTTTGGAATAGTCATTTTACCCTAAGATTAGTTATCAGTATCTGACTTAGTGTTTATGGAAATTGTAGCCGGGGAGTTTTCGGTTCAGCAGTCAGGCGCTCAGCAAGCAGACTTTCAGCAACTACTTCGAGGTAAGTTACCTTCTAGTAGCAGTGGGTCTAAGGCCACAATACCGGCCCACTAGTAGGAATTGTATGAGTAGATGATTGTCTCTGTGATACTCATCTAGGGTTGCCATTACCTATGTTATGTTTATGTGTGTGTATGATATGATGCTATGTGCTAGTGATAGTAGGGGAGATAGTCCCCAGGTTACCGGTCGATAGGGCCGAAGGGGCAGTAATGCCCAACCATGCTGAATAGATTACGTGATACATGTTATGTGGTAGTGGTAGGGGGTGAAATAGTCCTAGTATCCGGTCGAAAGGACCGAATGAGAGACCAGCACCCAGATATGCTAGTCAGTATCCGGTCGAAAGGACTAAAGGGGAGACAAGCACCCAGATATGCTAGTCAGTATCCGGTCGAAAGGACCGAAAGGGAGACTAGCACCCATATATGCTAGTCAGTATCCGGTCGAGAGGACCGAAGGGGTAGGTCAGGCACCCAGATATGCCTGACAATATTTGTATGTTATGTGGTTATTTGGTATGCGGTACGATGGGGGAACTCACTAAACTTTGTGCTTACGGTTTTTAGTTGTTGTTTCAAGTACCTCTTTAGCCAAGGGGAAGGAGCTGGCGCAGTAGCAGCATATCACACACGCTCTTGTTTTTCCGCACTATGAGACATTCTGGGATTTGTACTCTGATATTATTATGATTTACATTCTGGTTTACAAATGCGAGACATGTTTTATTAAATGATATGGTCAAATGATATTTTGTTACAAACGTTTTGCAAATCACTTAATTAAAAATCAAATTTTTGGTCCATAATTTTTGGGATGTTACAAGTTGGTATCATAGCCCTAGTTTGAGGGATAAGGACACACCTTCAGGGGTTTCTGAACTCAAATCAAGGGATTAAAAGAGTTTGAAAAAGAAAAATGTTTTCTAAAAGGTTAAGTAAGGAGTTTTAAGAAGGAACAAAGTGTGTGATGTACGCGACCGACTGAGCTCAAGTAAGTATTCCCCAATGTACCCATACAAGTTTATGTATGTTTATCAGTTTTAGTAGAACAACATGCTAGAATAAAACTAAGGATCTAGGAGTGATGCCTTATGTGCCTGCTTTATGTGCTTCAGTATATGAATATTGCATGCTAGGATTGAGTAGACAACAGTAGGATAGGCTGTTTAGGATATGCCAGATAACATGAGCTTAGCATTATACGCTAGTACAGTTTCCCCTTTATGAGGATATAATTGCTTGAGTAGTCTCCTATGTCTGAATGTTGCTTGCTTTGTGGGACTCTAAGTGATGGGAGTTAGCCATTAGGTGAATGTGTCACGTCACATGCAAATAGGGTTGAATAATCTCAGAGTGCTAGACTTGTCCCTATTGTGCAGCTCTTATCTGAGTCTAACCGTTATAGGGACGAGCCTTTCACTTGAAGGATTATCTGAGCCTCACTGCATGTGATGGTATTCAGGTGATGGCTAATTGGCATCACAAGGAGGCTTTCAGCAGCTGAGGACTGGATCGGGTATAGTCAGAGAATTCCCTAGGGCAAGCCTAGGATGGGGGTAGCAGAGATTATTAGCAGTAACAGTGACTTGGTGGAGTCAAGGTAGTACTTGAGGAAAGTACGGATAAATGTGGAAGGTAGTATGGGCCCGTACTACTGGAAGTAGAGGATCCGTACTCGAATCAGGGAAAGCTGAGATGAGATCAGGAAACTTGTGGTAGTAGTGATTCCTCGAGATATATCAGTGTTCCTGACGTTTATTATGTTGTGTTTCAAAATAGTGGTATTAAGCCCTAGACCAGCAATTGGCAGTTCAGGAGAGGGATTGGGTTCGGGATCAGGTTCCGAGCCAGTGAATGAGGGGCTACGCGATTTCATCACGTCAGATATCACCAGGGGCATCCTTGAGTCGACCCCCATTATCTTTGGGTTGATCAAGGAAGGGATACTTGAGCTGATGGAGGATCGCCTTCGGGCATTCAGGAGCGACATGGCATCTGGCCAGTCGGGATCTCGCACATTGTCCTTTAACGACTTTAGGGGCAGTGGTGCGCCGGATTTTCACAGGGCGAAGGACCCCATAGCTGCCAGGCAATGGATTGCAGACATTGAATCTGCACAGTTGACTAGCTTCTGCCCTGAGGGGTCGAAGGTGAGATTTGCAGCAGGATATCTGAGGGGTCAAGCTAGGGATTGGTGGGAGTCTGTTGGTGACTCGTTGGGAGCCTCGGTTGTCGAGGCTATGACCTGGTCGGACTTCGTGACCAGGTTCAGGGCAGAGTTTGCACCAGCTATCGAGCTTTAGCAGCTGGCCAGGGAGTTTTTAGATATGAGGCAGACAATGGAGACGTTGGCGGAGATCACCGCCAAGTTCCAGGAGAGGGCTTTGTTGGTGCCCCAGTACGCGGGTGATGAGGATATGAGGAGGACCCGCTATCATGACATGTTACGAGCTGATATTCGGGAGCATGTCAGTTTTTCAATTTGCCCTACCCTGGACTCTATGATTGCCAGGGCAAGGTAGAGGGAGATAGATCTGGAGCACATCCGGAAGAGGAAGGCAGAAGAGGGTCATGTTATGGGGGCTTCGGGGAAGAAGCCCAAGGAACTAGATGCGGGGGCTGAAAGGCCAACAGGGGCGGGGCCAGGCCACTGCAGGAAATGCGGCAAGGTGCACGAGGGAGCGTGCAAGTTAGGATCGTCAGGCTGCTATAAGTGCGGCAAGTCAGGGCACTTCAGTAGGGATTTTACCGCCCTTGTGCCTGTGATACAGACGTCTGGGTTGCTATGTTTCCATTGCAACCAGAGGGGCCACAAGAGGGCAAGTTGCCCCCAGTTGATAGCAGCATCGGCGCCAGTAAAGGCGCCAGTTCCAGCGACCCTGCGGATCACGGATGGCCGGCACGACAAGGCATAGGCTCTAGTGGTGAGGAGTCGGACGTTTCAGCTGACTACCGAGGAGGCACGCGCCGCACTCGATGTGGTGACGAGTATGGTTCTTTTCCCTCTATTTTATTTATATGATGTTATGATATTGATGTGTGCTCTGTGTATATGTATTAGGATCGTTCCATGCGAACGGTATCCCAGTTCAGGTATTGTTTGACTCGGGTGCCACCCGATCGTTTGTTTCTGTTGCGCTTAGCAAGAAGTTTTCTGAGTCTTCGGGCATGTTGGATTGCCCTCTAGAGGTAGAGATTGCCGATGATCGATCGATGCGAGCATCAGCAGTGTTCAGGGATTGTGTTCTAAGGTTGTTGGAGGAGCGTTTTTCGGTGGATTTGGTTCCCATTCCGTTGCGTGGGAACAAGGTGATCATAGGCATGGATTGGTTGAGCCCTAATGAGGCGGTGATAGATTACGCACAACAACTGGTGCGGACCAGGATCCCAAGTAGGGGAGAGTTGGTGATTCACAGCGAGAGGCCACAGCGTGGACCCACAGTATGTTCAGCATCGAGAGCTAGGCGCTACCTTCAGCAGGGTTGCGCGGGATATGTCGAGTATGTTATGGATACCCGGGAGGCGGGTAGGGTGAAGGTGAGCGAGGTTCCAGTGGTATGAGACTACGCAGATGTGTTCCCAGAGGAGCTTCCTGGGATACCTCCGGAGCGACAGGTAGAGTTCAGGATCGACCTAGTTCCTGGTGCGGCTCTGATAGCCAAGGCACCGTATCGGTTGGCTCATCCTGAGATGCAGGAGTTGTCTAC